AGGGGCCGCAGGGCTGTGTCACCCCTGCGGCACGTGCTCTGTTCAGGAGGCCCCATGATAACAAAGCAGTGACACCCAAGGCTGAAATCCCATGTGTCTGCCAGCGTGGCTGAGACACAGCATGTTCTGCTCCGGGCCTGTAAAGCACCACAGCACAGGGGCGAAATGCCAGGCCTGCTGCTTTGAGAGCAGCGTGTAAGCAATACTGCTTGGACACAGAGATGTTTGAAAGGGGAAAAGGCCCTCCGGTGGGTCTGAAAGCATGGTGGACATTTCCCAGGAGAGGCCACTAGAACAAGCATTTGCTGCTCGAGAATAGGCTCAGCAAAGCTGCCTCAAGATCGTTACTTCAGAGAGATGCCCAGTCAGGAGGAACAAATGGTGCTGGGTCACAGCGATTCAGTGCCACAGCCACAGGGCATCGTCAATGCTTCGTGGTGGCTCTGCCGCAGTGGAGAGTGCTGCCTGCCGGGCTTCACCCTCAGCTGCTCAAATATGCACTGTGTCTGAAAACCTAAGAGCCCCTGCCCCGTCCCACAACAGCGTGAATTTTTCCTGCAAGCTGCATCTCTCCACTGCTGTGGGAACGATACGCTGGGAAGAAGCTCTTTCCCACAAGATGTGTGACGAAAGCTCCATCTCCAACTGAGTCTTGGCAAACACACCGGAATCCCCTGGGTGCGAGCTGGCGTCCCACAGTGTGGAGCAGCTCCCGCTGGGCAGTAGCAGCAGCATCCATCCAGCTCGAGGCTGCCCAGTGCCTTTCCTAGGGCCATCTGTCCAGGGCAAACTAGGGTAAGGGTGGTTCTCCCTCATGGTCCTAAGTAGACCTAGTTCTGCAGTAACATGAGTATGTGCTAGTGGTTTCACATCCTGATACGTGAGAGACTCTCTGGGACACAATACCAGCATCTTGAGATTTTTGCGTTCTTAACCATTAAATAACTGGTGCTTGATCACTGTCTCCAGCAATCATCTTCATGCTTGTGCAAAAATGGCAAGTATTTTAACTGAAGACCATCCAGGGTCTGAATTTCACATCAGTTTTTAGAATTAGCCAAAGTTGGCCGATTCTAGCTCCTCCTGCTTCCTTGCTGTTTTCTGGGCAGCAAGGAGCTGCACGGGTAAGCAGTGTACCATGCACACATACATCATGTACATACACACACATATATATATACACAGTGGGGAGCCGACGGAAGGGACATTCCTGAGCAAACTGTCCCCTCCTAAGAAGGACGCAGAGCGGTTTGTTGGGTTTCGTATTTTTAGCAGATTTAGAAAAACCTGCCCAAGTTATTTTTGAAGTCTGTGGTATGTTTGCTCACAAAAGCGTCCCTGCAAACTGTCCACATTAAACCAGCTTAAACCCAACCCTGTCCCCAGGGACCAGGCCAAGAGCACCCCTCAGCTTCTGGAGGGGCAGTGCGGACACCCCCCACCTCTCCATGCCACCAGGTAAGATATCCAGTATTGGAACATTTCTTTTTTTCCTCTGGTAAGTTGTAGTTTACTCGGCTGCAGGAAGCAAGTGAGGTTACGTTTTATCCCGTTCCTCCCACCCTTTGCTTAACTCCCCCAGAAAGCAGCAAGGACAAACAGTGTCCTCGGGGCCTCTGCTTGTTTGTGAGGCAGCCTGAC